GGTTCAGCAGATTGACCCGCCCCTCGGCATCAATGTATAATCAGAAGTTATTATTTATAACTAGGGTGTAAATTTAAATATAAATTAAATTTTTTTCTGATTTTTCTTAAACATTTTGTTTATTTAATTGATTTTTAGAAGATTTTTTTGGACGTTTTTATGACATTTTTATGGTTTGAACGAATTTTTCGTAAATTTTATAAGTAAAAATACAATTTTATGAATACTATATTAGCTTAAATTCCTTGAAGATATTCAATAGTTAAATATCATTTTTTTTTTTTTACTAATATTTCTATTTTATTACGTCTTATGTTTGCTCCTATGACTTCAGTTATACAAAACAATACTTGCCAATTATAACTATCGAAGTTTTTTATTTGAAAATATTAATTAGCTTCTGATTGACCAGTGATATAATGAAACACAAAATATAAGGACTATACCTATTTAAGTTCTATGTTATTTTCATTTAAATTAGCTTTTAATTTTTCTGGGCATTTTATTAATCTTTGTAATATTGTAACTAGTGCATAAAATCGTAATTTTTAGGCATTTTTCTTGTTTTTTATATTTCATTTATATCCATGCAATAATTATAACTGAATATTACCTAATACCTAATATTAAATTGTACACAATAAAAATATAATATAAATTATTTTTACCTACATAATAGTAAAATATAAAAGATAATTTGTGATAATATGATGGCTATTAACAAGCTGATAACTGTGGGTACATTCTAATGTAATGTTCTTAATTCAAAAAAGCCAATTTATTTTTATTTTATTATAGTGTGTTGTTTGATGATTTTGTTATATTTACTTATCTATTTGTTGTTTAAAATGGAAACTAAAAGAAAGGGTGGGGTTGAAAAAATCAGAGGAGAGAAAAAGGATACTTTTATAAAAATCAAGTTAAAGTAGTTTAAAGAACGACCTATGTTTTTCACACATTGTGGATCAGTTATAGAGTAGGTAATAGAAAAACATAATACATTATACTCTGCAGTACATGTAATTAAGATAAAATACTAAACACATTAAGAATCTCAAGTTATCTCCTGAGAAAATTGAAGATGAGTAGAGGATGTAAGTATGTAACCATCATTTGTTAATACTTTGGTACCATATTTAAGTGTTACATTTAGTGATGACGAAATGGTAAGGGCTGGTCAAAATATTGATTTTCCGGGCCGAATAGTTGCCCCAGTCCGCCCCCGTACCCAGTACCCTGTTACTATATTAATGTCATGTGGAAACTTTACCTATTGATAACTTGGACCTGTTCTGTGTTCAATATATGATTCTAAATCCTTTAAATTGCTATTTTTAGATTATTTTAAGTTTAAATAAGTCAAAACTATTGTTTAATAAATTATCAATTTTTGAATTTCGAACAAGTATATATTACATATATTTTTTTTCTCTAATTTTTGTATAAATTTTAATTTTATTTTATTATAACTCACGCTTGTACTGTCATTAGGATACTATTGTAAATTGGAATTTTTAAAATATTATTATTATTAAAGGCCAAAGCTAATGGGGGGTCTACCCCCACGCCTTCCCATGTATACCTTGTTCACGCCTCTGGCCCGTTGATCCAATTTTTTTATACTTCTATTATACTCTGACGAAGAAATTTAAGAATTTAAGCTTTTCAAGTTTACTCAGTGTGCATGCAGTGGCGTATTGTGGTTATGGTCGTGGAGGATATGATTTAACCAGTAGCGCCTTAGCAGCAGTAGCTTTAAAAAGTTAGAGGAGGTGTTGATCCCCTTGATCCCCTCCGTAAATACGCTACTGCGTGACTGCGTACATGGTAAATGAAAACGATTTACAACAGGTGAGTATTATTGTATTAGAGTACCTACGTCTTGTTTCAAACGCAATTACGTAAAACCACGGTTTAAGATAGTATCTTAAACCGTGCGTAAAATGGTAAAACTAATGTTAATAGTGCTGGGATAAAATAATAGGTATAAGGTACAAGGTATAAGGTCATAGGCGTAATCTCGGGGGTGCAAAGGGATGCACTTGCACCCCCTACATTTTCTATATTTATAATGTATAATTTTGCCAAATTTTGCCAAATTTTTAAATATTTATAAAATAATGTTAACATTATTAGACATTACTTGTAAGACCTATAAGTTTAATAATCATGAACTTCAAGTAGAACTAAATATCTTTAATAGAATGTTCAAATCTAAATAAACTAACTCAAATAATAGTATATTTCAAAACAAATTAGATTATATGAATTATAAGGTGAAATTAAAAATGAATGGTTTCAAATGGTTTCCTTTATTATCTGAAATTTTAAAACTATTTATAACAATATCTGCAAACACTGCATCTTGTTTTTCCTGATTACGAAGGCTTACCTCAGAAAAACTATGGGACAATAATGTCTGATATAGCTATGTAGCACAACTTACAATTTGATAGAAAAGGAATTATAGATTTTGAAATTGTAATCGACGAGTTCAATGCAGCAACAACTAACTGTACATGGTAGACAGTGCCGCAACTAGGTTTTGTGGGGCCCTGATGTGAAACATTTTATGGGGCCCCTCGCCCCTATAGCCTAGTATACTTATACTCCAATATAACGAAAAACAGTAAGTGCTACAATTAACCTTTAGTAGACCTCTAATGCAAGGCAATATTTATGGCCCCCAAATATTAACATTTTTTCAAGCATTATAGTAATGTTGGTTATATTAAGAGGACGTGATACTCGCATGTGTTGTCTCAGTCTTACAAGTGCGTTTCATAGCAAATTTTACGCTCAGCAGAACATATGTAGCTCCGTTAATTTAAAAATTAGAGCTAATTGACCTCTTATAAAATCTAAAGGTAAGATTATTATCTAGGCAACCACATGGGCATTTTAATATATTTTAGTTTTAAAGTGAGTTATGAGTATTTTAAGATGTATAAACAATTAATTTTAAAATACTCATAACTCGCGATAATATTTCTCATCTTTAGATTTTATGAGAGGTCAATTTGCTCTAATTTATAAACTAACGAAGTTACATGTGTTCTGCTGAGCGTACAATTTGCTATATTACGTACTTGTAAGACAGAGACAACAAAGGCGGGTATTAGCCTTATGTTAATCATATTTCTAAACAGATCTTCAACAATACACCAGTTATCAGTAGTTAAGTAGCAATTAATTTATTAAACAAAATGTAATTGGTATGTTCATTTTCTCGATTTTAACACAATATATTACATTATAATTTAAATAACAAAATATAAACTATCAACAAATATTAGGTAGATGTACAATGATTTTATTTTAAAAAGGTTTTTCTTTCTAGACTTTCTTTGCAGTCATTTATCAAATTTTTAAGATCAAGTTCATTTGTAGTTGATTTATCAATGTTAATAGTACCTATGCCAGTTAATCTCTCTTGTGACATTGAATTCCGAAGAAAGTTTTACAACAGTTTTAACTTGGAAAATTAGCTTTCGGCCGTAATGATAGTATGGGGAGACTTAAATATATAAATAAATTATAACTATATAAAATTCCACTATAAAGGGACAAAAGATCATTTTCATTTTTCAATAATAAAAAATGTGAATTATTGAATTGTTTGAATTTTTGTTTTTCGAATAATATCAAAATAATAATAACTATCTAAAATAATAGATTGCTATTATAAAAGGTATATTTTCTTTTTTTTTCGAATAATAACTTAGGTATTTAATTTTTTTCTTTGGTCGATGGGCCCCCATTTAAAAATGAAATCTGGCCAGGGAATGCAATGCATACCTTGCTTACCCTATTTTTGCGGCACTGATGGTAGACGCTTAAGTTTAATTTAATTTTGTTAATTAATATGTATTAATATGTATTATATCAATGTAATAAATTACAGTGTTGACTAATTATTTTCATTTATATAATAAAATGTATTTACTTCATATTAATGATAATACTAAATTGTGTATACACTTAATCAATTTTGATCGAGGAACTGGAATTTAAAGTGGTAAATAAATTTTCAAGTGGTATTTTGCAATTTTGTAGAAAGTTTAAAACTTTCTTGATTAGTTTTGCACCCCCTAAATTTTAGCGAAATTACGCCTATGTATAACTGTATAAGGTAACACATACCAATAGGTAGGTAATACAATCAACAATATTTAAAATATAAAATATATTATTGTAATACAATAGTTGAACTCCGGTTAAACCACCGAATTCGGCCTGTAAAATCAGTGGTTCAAGCATAACCGAGGTTTAAACTATGATTGTAAGACTATGGTTGTACTCTTAGCAATTTCAAGTATACATACATACAGACATACAGTGTAATAGTATAGTAATTAAAATTTAAATTAATAATTTAACAATAAATATGATTTCCTTAGCAAAGTAGGTACTTATATTTAAGTATACGGAACGTGTTGTGCGTCGTGTGTGTGTGTGACGTGGTGTGTGTTCGAATCAGTGTCGGCCTGGATTTTAATTATTTAATACCATACTTATAATAATGTTGGCTTCACTGGTTTGAGTTTTTCGGTTATTATCTTACCATCTTCAAAATTAAAATTCTATTACGATTTAGAATTTACTATTTAGTATTTTAATTTTTAGTATTACTTTAGATAATTACAATTTAAATTATTATTTATTGAAATAATTTTATTCGATATATTATACTTGTCTATGCTGCAGTAGGAACTGTATATTGAACGAGCTACCTAGCCTACGAACGTTTGTATAGAGAGTAGAGACTTATCTATGATTTGTATTTTAAACTTTATACTGACTACTACTTTGTAACTGTACTAGCCACTAGGTAACTATTAAATATTCTAATATTATTAATTATTACAACCGTTCTACAGCTATGCTCCTTTTTGTCATTTTGGTTGTCTCATATTAGTAAATAACTATTGCTAAATGCTGGGTACAACATTTATATTTACTAGTTTTAAATTTAAATAGGTTTGAATCATCTAGACAAGATGAATGGGAATATGTCTCAAAATAATGAAAGCTCTGTAAGCACACCATCAAACTATACTCGTCCTAGTATGACTACCATTGACGTGAGTAATAAGTATTTTAAGGAATATTAAATAATTATACTGATATTTAAACCTAAATTTAGTTCGATCATTACATTTAATTATAATTTTGTTTTTTTTTTATGTAGATTTTGAAACAAGAATTATATCAAACACAACTACAATTGAAAACAAAAATTGCATTTATTAGTGAACTTCAAAACGATGTAGAGCAGTTACAAATAGTTGAAGATGATAATATTAAGTTGAAATCAGAAATTTCAACAAAAGAATCAGATTTAAGGCAATGGACTGTAAAAGTAATTAATCAACCTATTAGTTATTTCTGTATTTTGACAAGCTTGTAAACTTTACATATAAATATAGTTATAAATGTATAACTAAACATTATTTATTTAAATTTCATTATATTTCAGTATTCCAATTTAGAGTTCAAATTATTAGACCAACAAAAAGACCATTTATTAGAAATCAATTCGTTAAATGAGCAACTAACAGTCTTAAAACATTTAAAAGATAAACCAAAGGAAGATTTACCAGTGAATTTAAATGAAAGTATTATAACAGAATTAAAATCTGAGTTGGATGAGAAAAAGGTATTATTAACTAATAACTATAATTGTCATATCAATGTACGATATTAAAATATATATAATATATGTATATAAAGGTTTGCTGTTAGGTAAAATTTTAAATTATTTTTTATAGGAAAAATATGAAGGGATGCAAAATATGATAAATAATCAAGAAATTATTATTATGGAGTTAGAACATTCAAAAAGTAGAGCTATCGAAGAATTAGAAGAACTTAAAATAAAAGTTGAATTTAAAACTGACCAATTAAATGAATGGAAGCAAAAATATGAAGTAAAATGTTTACACTATCAATACTTTTATTGTACTTATTTTTTTAAGATAATTAAACATTATAATTTACTAATTATGACTTATGTTAGACATTGCAAGAAGAATGTGAAATGCTTAGACTGCAAGTCAATAGTATAAATAACTTAAATGATCATAATAAAAGAGGAAATTCATTGTTTGCTGAAGTTGACGATAAAAGACAAGCATTGACAGCCGAGCTGGAAATGAAAAGGGAAAAATATGAAACTTTGAAAAAATGTTTATCAAAAGCAAACCATGAAAACAATCAAATAAAGGTTTTAAAAATTATTAGATTTTCTTTTTTACTGATGTATTCTAATTTATTATTCTTTAGATGGAAATGATGAGATTAGAAAAGCAGTTGTTAGAAACCGAAAGAAATGATGACTTAGAAAAATCTACTTTAATTCAAAGTTATAAAAATCGTATAAGCGTAAGATAACATTTTATAAAAAAAATTATGAAGTAAGTTAATTTTTTAAACTTTTTATTTTTATAGGATTTAGAAGCCAAAATAAGAGAATTAGATAAAAGACCAGAGACTCCACAAATATTGAAAATAGACAATTTAAACAATGATAGCATGAATGTTGTTCTTCAAATTGTGTCTGATGTCCGGTGTGTTGTATTTTTGTATATCATAGTACTATTCATATAAAATATTTTGATTGTTCATGAAAGTAGTATGATAATTTTTTTAGAAAAGAAAAGAAAGCTTTGGAAGAAGAAATGAATAGAAGGTCAGTTAGAGATATGGAAGCTCGACAACAATGTTTTAAAGGAGAATGTGAAATTCGACAGCTTAAGAAAGAGATGAGAAGAGACAAATTGCAACTAAAAGAATTAGAACAACAAATTTCTGTATTGAAATCTAAATGTAAAAATATTTCTATACTATGTTTAAATTGATGATTATGCGCATCCCCACAGGGCACCTTGCCATAGGGGGACCGGTTTCGATAGCCAGGTAACGTGGGAGGATGCGCAGAACCGGAATGTTCTCTCGTGGAACAGACTAAAGTGTATAATCCTTGCATAGTTTTTATACTCTATAGTTAATTTTTTTATATCATTTTGGAAGAATACAAAAAAAGGTATTGTTTTTATATGTATATTTTGTTATAGCGTCAACATCCAAGGAAAACATTGATGAAGATAAACGTATAGCAACAAAAGGGGTACGTTTTCACAACAACTGTAAGATTGAAGATGGAGGCCCTTCAATGAAACAAGTAAAAAAAATTCCACAACAAGCTGTTTTAAACACAATTTTTTGTCCAAAATTTGAAGAATTATAAATAAATACTATCAATATTGTTATATTATTTAATTAGTTTTAGATATTTTAAAAATATTCACATAGAATCCTAAAATTATACGATGTGCTTCTAATTTTCAAGTATTGAAATTTTAATGTAAAACAAAAACTTCTATTTTCACAGCATAAATGTATAATGTTCTAGCTTCTAGGATCATACATTTTTCTATTATAATAATAACTTTGCCATATAAAATAAAACTTGTGTAATTATTTGTATAATAAAAAATTTCCAATCTGACAAAAATGTATAAAGATTTTTATTTATTTTTATTGTTTAATAAGGGAAGATAAATAATAAATTGATGTAAATACCTTTTTAAATAATTTACACTGTTTGAATGTTATAGATCTGTAAAAGTAGTAGGTAAAAAATAGTAAATACCTACTAAATAAGTGTAGTAAAATAGGTGAAGGAGACATGGAGAAGGGGAGGCCAAGTCATAATTTTTGGAAAAATTCAATGATTTTTTTTGTAATTTTGTTTTTAACAGTATAAAATTGTTTAGAAACACAGCTTGGGGAGAAGGGGGTTAACCTTCACTAACGCTTAAAATTTTGAATTCGACGATGTTGATGATGAATAGATTTTTGAAAGGAGAGGTTGCAGAGTGACAAGTGACACAGTAAATAATTATAAGTATTTTATTATGTTTAAAAGTATAATGTTTTGAAGTAAAATATATAAATTTGAAGACAGAGCGAAAAGCATCTGCCCGAGAAATTAGTTATTAACACTAGTTAAAAAGTAATGGAAATAGACTTAAGTTGGCGGCGATATGGAGGACGCGCTCCACAACCAACCAAGACTTACAAGTGTGCGAGTTGTACTAATTCTAAATGTGTTATGGATCTAATCCTGTATTTATATAAAATGTATATGGATAAAAACTGACTAAAAACTTTATTGTGTATAAGGGGGCTGGAGCGTGATTATTTTTCACTACGCCCAACATAATGTTCTGATTTTGAAAACAGATTTGAATTCGTCACTAAATTATCTGTACTTTGACAATTTCATTTTTCTGATTTTAGATTCTGAGTGGAACGATGAATGTATTGATTTTACAATGATGTGTGTTTTTATTTTTATTTTTTTATTTTTTTATTTTTTTATTTTTTTATTTTTGTGTCTGTGTACACGATAAGTAGTCGAAATAATGCTTCGATTTTCGACTTCAGTATCTTGTTCGATTGGAAAGTGAATATCGTTGTGCATTGGGGAGGTCAAAATTTAAAATTCCCAGTACTTTTCAAAAGCGCCAAGAAAAACAAAAGAAAAATTAAGGAAAAACAGGAATTTTTACGCAAAATCGATTTTTCAGAAAATTGAATTTGGTTTTTGGTGTAACTTTAAAACAAATGACCGTAGATACATGAAATTTTCACTGGTCGTTTATATTTGCATTTTCTATACACGATAACATTTTCAAAATATTTTGATTTATTTTGAACTGTTTAGGGACATTTTCATTTTTCATTTTTTTTTAGTTTTTTTTCTAGAAATATCAATATAATTTTATTGGTTGGTTAAAAAAACTTGAAAATTTAATAGAAGGCTCCTAGTTTATTGTTTCGAAGGCAGATGAAAAATATTAAAAATCGTTAGTCACAGTTTTTTTTTTTAAGCATTTAAAGTTCAAAAATTGACAAAATATGGAAAAATCACGAAAATTAGCAAATTATTTTGAGTTAAGAATTCGTAAAAATTTTTCTTTTTAAATCTAAGATTTGAAAATGTAATACAAGATTACTCATAAGTTTGCCTACCTTTATCAATAAAAAAATATCTACCGGACAGTCAAATTAAATTTTTACGAACGTTTGAAATTCAAATTTTTACTACATTGGATGTTCACTCGATTTCTCATGTAACGATTTCCATATTTTGTTGTTATTCATAAACGAATAACTATAGATACATGAAAATTTCACTGAATGTTTATATTAGCATTTCCTATACACCATACTATTTTGAAAATATTTTGACTCTTTTTGAGTTTACGGATATTTTCATTTTTTAATTTTTTTAGTTTTTTTTTCTATGAATATAAATAAAGTTTTATCTGTTGGGCCAATAAGTGTAAAAATTTAATACAAGGCTCCTGATATATTGTTACAATATCAGTTGAAAAATATTAAAAATACATAGGCACAATTTTTTTTTATAAGCATTTAAACATCGAATTTTGACAGAATTTTTCAAAATCTCGAAAATTATTAACCATCGTAATTAATAAATATAAAATGTTCAGTTTTTATAGCTAAGGATTGAAAATTTAAAACAAGATTCCACGTAAGTAGTTAATTCTCTTACCAAAAAATCTAAAAAATATACAATCACAGTTTATTTTTATAGTCATTTTATGTTCAAATTTGGACGAAATTACATATTAAAAAACCTAGTTATTTTGTTGTTATTATATAATATTATTCGTGGTATCTACTTCTAACTTCTAAAGTGTACTATTATATATCTATGATAGTATCAGGGTTTGTTATTGATATTCATGTATAACGTGTTATAAGTACCTAATGGATATTGTGATAATGTGATATGATTAATTTGGAATTTATTATAGGTCAATTTTATTTTAATACCATAGATATGTATATAATTTGTCTTAAACCTAGACTGACATACCGTCTTCGCTCAGAATCGTTTTTCTTATACAATGATATTGTATCATTGAATTCAAATTTAATAGCATCCATTATACAGTGACCCACTTGTAACCTACTGTACAGCAGAGCGACATCCACTTACCCACCTTTTTATTTTTTTTTTTACTTAGAAATTTACTAACAAAAAGATTAAAAATAGATCATATTCATAATTCAAATTTAAATACATTGATGTAGAATATAAAAAATGTACGACAGTCAAAGCATACCTAGTAAATTGAGAGGAGAATTCAAATCTGCTTTCAAAATTTAAATCGGAACATCCTACTGAGAGTAGTGATTGAAGTCACTGGCAGTATTTACTATTTTTTGAAAAAAAAAGTTCCTAACTGACAACTTACTGTATAAAGTAATAGTGGGTGACATGTGCATGCGCGTAGGTAAAATGACAGACGAATTATGATGCCCCTATGCAAGGTGATCGGTACTACGAATTACACACACTAATATTAATATACTTTCAACACATTCACAAGACACATATGAACTGAAATATAGAATGCCTAGTTTTTACTCCTTAGAATGGATTACGCTCCAACCCCCTTAATAATATACTTATGGCACATTAAAATATAGTAAAGTGACTCCGTCGGTTTACTACACGCCCCTGGTAATGGTGTAGATACAACTGTACAAGGGAAATGGATACACACCAATGGACCAACTGTCAATAAATTTCATTTTTGCTACCCAATTGTTGATATGCATTTTGACATTTAATAGTGTTAGTATATATATGCCGGGTTGCATAAACGTTCATTAAACATTTAATGAACCAATAGCGCGCTATTGAATGAATAAATTATTTAATGGCTCACTAAACGGTCATTAAACTTATTGGTTCCTTAAACTGGAGGTTACCAGATCATTAAATTAGTGATCAGATTTCGGCTCACTAAATTTTTATGCAACGGTTTATCACACAATTATAATTTTTTCTCAAATCTCAAGATAGCTAATATGCCTACCGATACGAGTTACCAATATATATATATATATTATATATATCTTTAATCGTGATTTGTATTAATAATTAATATTATCTTCTCAATTTGGTGATAACAAAATTATCAAAAACCACATACTAGGTATAAACCAAAAGTAGTTTAATAATTTTTTTATGCAACACGGTTAATTAATCAGTACATTAATCGGTTCATTAAAAGTATTTTAATCATTCATTAAAACAAACCATTAAACTAATTTAATCATCGCTTTTATGCAACCCGGCAATAGTATATTACTTCACAGTTCACACACATTAATATATTGTCGGAATGATCTTAGCGTTGCGTAGACCCCGGGAAATCAATAACTATTATTTAATGTTCGCAACAATCAGCGTAGGCCATATGGGGCAAAAGGGCCAACGCACAGAGTTATAAAATAGTAATATAAAGTATAGGTACCTACTGTGAGAAGTTTGTGGGTCTAATAAAATCTTAGTAGTATAGCTATGACAAAACTACACAGTTATAGCGAAACCCCTCATCGATAATTGGCCAGCCACAAGCACATGTGCAGACCCATGGGCACATACTCACACAGGTCACAGACGTCTATGGATATAGCTAAGATTAGCTCATTCGGGGGATCGACCACACGAACCGTGGGAACGGCGGCACGAGCATAGGAGGAAATCCATAAAAAATTCAGGGGGGGGGCTAACATAATTAACATCAATGTGATCAGGAGGGCTTCGATCCTACAAAACTAAAAAAGGAAAGGGGCTTGACTAGCTTTAGGAGGCCTAACCCCCTCAAGCCCCCCCTTATAGAACAATACAACTGTGGATTCACAAGTTAATGTAATATTGTACATTGTAATTTGTAATCAATAATTCCATAATAGAATATACTATACGCGTAGATATATAGGTACAAAGATTAGAATTGTGTTTATTTTTTTTTCGATGGATTGATATCTTTAGTTTTCATAATGTATTTAATCATCATTACTATTAAAAACATACTAATAGTAGTCGTGCTAATAATTACAAAATAAACGTCGACTAGGAAATACTGGTTATAATTCAGTACAACACTACTACTCGTAAGGTGATTAGCCCCGCCATGACGGAGAACATATTCAATCCAATATACAGCTCGATCCATTGGTCTTGGATGGGAATCTTTAAATATTTCACTTCGTATCTTCGAGTTTTCTTTATATCTAAAATACATCATAAATATAATTATCTATATGAATATATGTATGTATTGTATACGACGCTATGTGCGTAGGCATTTATAATATATTTAGGTACTTTGTGTTTGTAAGAACTTCATTGATGGCAGACAGCATGGATTCTTCAGTCAAATCAACATTATCTACCATTTTCCCTATGCCATTGCGTTCGGCTAACCTCATGTTCATGTGTTGGTCGCCAAAGAAAGGGACACCAACGATTGGCAAAGCGTTGTAGGTAGCCTCTTCTAGACTGTGTACACCTCCATGTGTGATGAACAGACGAACGTTTGGGTGACCTATATTCAATAGGTATTAATGACTTAATGTATTATAATAAGTACTTTAAAACGATTAACGGTGTACACTTTACCTATACCTAATGATTATATTTTAAGAACGATTTTAAACTATTAGGTATAGGCATATGTGCAACTAGACCTATATTTTTGAGGGTGCACAAATAATAAATAATAAAGATAGGAAGATCTGACAAAAAAAAAAAAAATTATGCTACTTAAACGTATGACAAAAATTGTGAAAAAAATATTTTGAAAAAAGTTATTAGGTACTGTCTAAATTAATTTACTAAAAAAATATTGATCTTATAAAATATTCTAAAAAAATAACTAGGTACTTGACTTAGATAAGTGTTTTTACCATTAAAATTATTCTTATAATCAGATTTACAGATTGGCTATTTTTATTTTTTATTTTCAGTATTAAAAAATAAAAATTTTGATTTGAACAAAATGTATTTCATCTTGTATTCCTGTTAATATCTGTATATTATCTAATAATATTCAAATGTATATTTAATATTTATATACTACATTTTAATATGAGTGAAACAGTAACAGATAAGAAATAAAATGATCACATTTTAACATGATTTTTCTCTCCAGTAAATTATATTTATTCAAAATAGGTACTGCTAATTTAGACTTTAGGATAACGCTGTCCATCTCTTCAGGACTCCTCTCTCTTAATTGCCCAAATCAATTATGCCATTACAATTATTTTTATTTAGTTATTTCAGATTTTATTAAGAATATTTTGACTTTAGCTGATTTGACTAGAAGTACCTACATAGAACCTCTTAAAGCTGGAAAATCTAAATTGTCAACTTCTTGTATTTTATTTTTTTTTTTTAATAATATAGCGTTCTATAGGTCTTATTATGAGTTTAATATTATAATTATTAATTTATAAATAATTGAATAAACATTGATATATTATTTAATTTCCATAAAATAACACCATAACAGTTTTTTGAACAACACAATTTAACTGAAATATTGTTGGCTATTTTACGCACTCCCACTTGTTTTATAAATTACAACAATTAATTATAAACAAGGAAACAACATAAACACGCTCACATTCATGGGCAGTCTTTTATCCTGCCAAAGATAAAGAGAAAGATCATTATCTTGTTTTTAAGTTATTTTGTTGAAATATTATTAGGTATGATCATTGTTACACAAATAAGTAATAACGACGTAACTGTGACCTGTTCTATACAAAATTAAATACCTACCTAAGCTAAAGATTATTTCATAATATTATGTTATACTGTTATGGCTGGGGAATGACATTTTGGAACATAATATATTATATAGTGAAATACCCACTTATTATATTCCTCAGTATACAGTATACGCTATGGTACAATATTTTTGTATTTATTGATAATTTTTACTTAAAATAATCAAAATATTATAGAAAATATCTTTTATATTTTGGGGGTGCACAAGTCCCCTGTGCACCCCCCTAGTTGCACCAATTGGTATAGTTATATAGGTACCTAAAATATCGGGTTGCGGGAACCAATTGCTAACCATTACGTGCTCGGGCAACTGTGGCAGATTATTTGAATCCCACTTCCACATTACTTTTTGTTTCAGTTTCTTTAAAACGTTTATGAAAACTTCTATCGTTGAATTCGGTAAATTGGACGGATCCACAATAGTACCAAAACTAAAATATATTACTCCATGCTCAGCAGACTCAACGAACTCCAAAAATTTCTATGAAAAAAATTAATTTTTAACTTAATACCTATAAATACAAAAACATGTGTGATAATAGTAATAAAATCAAAATGTCCATACTCCGGTTAATGGTTTAGGTTCGTCCACGTGAAGTCCTGCAATTTCTATTGTACCCGGCAGGTAGGGTCTAGTCACACCGATACTGTAATGAGCATTGAGTAATGTCACTGATACGTTTCTCAACATATCTTCAATGGGAGGCCTAGATTCGTGACCTTTATATTTAAAGTATTTATCCATGTTCTCTTTTTGTAAAGGTAAATAATAATAATCTTCCAAAAATAATTGATAAATTCCAACGACAGTGTTTTTGAACCGTTCGATGAATGACATTTGATCTGTTGCTCCGGTTCGCTGGTCAAGTATGTATGAAAATGTAGACGGTTCACCAATCCATTTACTATTAGAAGGCCACAGCGTCGAAACGCCTAAATTAATAACTGGTGCTTTGTACTTATGGCCTAGTGTGATTGAATATTCTTGGCAAAATGAGAACACCATAACTAGATCGAATTCATAATCCTGGGATAGAATGAAATTTTGCATTTCTGGTTTGGAAATCATTTTTTGAGCTAAAGAAGTAGACAGTTTCCACAAACTAGGCACTACTGTCAAAAAACCATGACTGGCTAATTCCATTGGGTTGATACCTGTAGCAAAAAAAATTATAATGTTACTTATATTAAAATTGTTTTTGTATATACAGGGTTTACCCACGGGTAACCATACTATCTCAAATCATAGGATAAGAGCAGGGATGGAAAACGTTTTTAAAAAACGTAATTAAATGGAAAAAAAGGAAAACAAAAATCCCAAAAACCAAAAAAAATTTAATAATTAAATCAAAAACGAAAACAAACATAAATTATAGTATTATGTATAATACATAATAATATAATACATATACAATGTATTGTTAAGTTATTTATACTACAAAAAAAAAAATTCTGTTACCTATAGTAAAATTTATAATTCTGATAATTGTTGACGATAAAATATGTCAATAGCATAGAAGTTTTTAATCTTTACCAATGCACTTTGGAAATTTTAAAATATTTTAATTTTAAATCAGAAATATTGAATTTTCTAATTTTTATATAAATTCTAATTTTTATTTAAAATTTAAATATTAAGAATAATTAGTTTTAACTTTTAAGTGCATTTCTATATTTCGCGTTACTATTATAACTTACAATTCAGTTAAAAGTTAAAATTTATAACTTATAACTTATAAGAATATATTATATATGTATATATATAAAAAAACAAAATTATCAAAAACGTTATTTGGAAACAATAGGAAAATAATGTTTTTAAAAATGTTAATCAAAAACGTTTTAAAAATTTAAGCAAAAACGATATTTTTTAAATCAATAAACAAAAACGAAAACAAAAAAAATTAAAAAGGTTTTCTATCCCTGGATAAGAGCCACTATTCGCTGACGAACGCGCTCGCACACATATATATATATTACATAGAATGTATCATGTATGTACTATATAATTTATATTATATATTCATTGAATTGAAAGCGTTACATTTGTCGGTGTCGTTGATAATTTCTCGCTTTTAATCCCCCATAATTGAAGTGGAGAGCAGTCTGCAGCAGAGCCTCCCAAGAGAATTTTCACTTAAAAAAAAATGTCATACCTACTTGTAGTGCAAGTATCTATAAATTACATATACAACTTTTTTTTTTAATATTGATTAGAACAAAATTGTTTCATTTGTCAGTTCATTTCTAAGCCTTGTATATTTTTATAAGTTTTATATTATTTGTTATTCGGAATAACTAATTACCTTTTAAAATATTTTCATTTAATGAAATTGGAATGTCTGTGTAGTTAGGCAGTGGTGTCTTCAGTGGAAATGTGCTGACTACAGTAAGATTATGTCCTCTGCTAGCGAGTTCTTTGAATAATGGTCGAAATCCAGTAAAGTGACTTTTAAACGGCATTGGTGCAAAAACGAGTATATTTGCACTTTGTGTAGCAGTGATTAAGGTTAGAAGTTTAAAAATCCTCACAATAAAGTTATAATTATTCATTTCAACTGTGTGAATAATTCCAACTAGTTTGTGTTGAACTGCTATTTGTTTCAAAAATGTTTACCTTTTATCAAACAGAATAAACATTATAATTAGGTACAATTTATATTTAATGTATCAAATTGGAAGATCAGACTTGTTATTATTATGATTTTATGATTTTAATATTACATAAAAATGCGATTTATAAAAATAGTTTTATGCCCGTAAATATGCATAGTTAATATGTATGTGTTACATAAATTGACTAGGCATAAGGACATTAGATTCATATTTTACTTTTTTTAGTTAAAAAAAAAATCAAATAACTATACAAAGCTTAATATATATTTAATTAAAATTTTTTCTTGGTGAACAGTGAGTGACGTAAAATAAAAAAGTCTGGTTTTCATTTACCAATACCAAGTGGCAATAGTGGCATAATGTGTAAATTACCATATAAAAACAGTTTATTGTCATTGTAATGTAACATTTTGTTTTTACATCATTTTATTTCACGCTATATTATGTTGCATGCAACTGAACAATAAGCTAAATTCATAAAATAAAATAATGACTTGAAATAACAATCTTAAGGGGATTGGAAGCGGCGATTTTCTGTCTTTATCTAACACACGTGGAACATAGGATTATAGACGTGTTCTATGTCCAACGTACCGATTAATCTAATGAAGCGATAAGAATTCTGAAAACAGATTTGAATTTGTCGTCAAGTCTACTTGAGATCGACTTTCCCACATTTTTGATATTGTCCCACCAAAATCATAAAAATGATATATTATAAAAAGTACTTAAAAAATTTACAAATTTCAACTTTTGGAGAAGTTTAAATCAAAAAATCAAAAATGTGGGAAAGTCGATCTCAAGTAGACTTGACGACAAATTCAAATCTGTTTTCAGAATTCTTATCGCTTCATTAGATTAATCGGTACGTTGGACATAGAACACGTCTATAATCCTATGTTGCACGTGTGTTAGATAAAGACAGAAAATCGTCGCTTCCAATCCCCTTAAAAGGTTTTAAAGCGGAGGTATACATAAGAATAATAGTTATTAATTAGGTAGGTACTACTATTACAGTGTTCGGAAAGTTCACTAAAAAAATGAATTCGTTCACGTTCTTTGAAAATATAAATGCTTTTATTTCGTCGTTCATTTAGTTTATTTTATTTTTATCTATCGTTTAAATATGAATACAAATCACAATGGAAATATTGGAAATCATAATATTATTGTTGTTTTTTGTCCAGGCTTGCCCACTTTAATTTCATGTACCTATTTTATTTTTATAATTTGTAATATACCATATATATATCATAATAGTATTATAAATCAATATTTATTAAATAATAAATACATTTGAACGTCTTAAAAATCGTTAAAATTCATTAAATTTATAAACATAGTTCACGTTCTATTTGAAAAAGACGAGTGACGTTCACTTATCGTTCACTAAATATGAACATGAACATCGTTCTTTCCAAACACTGTACTATTAATTATTTTATTATAATACCGTCATAACGAATAGGTACCGCCTATATGATTAATACGAGTAAAATATTAATCTAGATTAATATAGCTTTAGAATTAAAATTGTAATGGTACAAACAAGAGTCAGCTATTCTTTTTAATGTTTTTTAAACTAACAATATAGGTATTACTTACTAAATAATAAACCTAAGTTAAAATTGATAGTGTATGGATTGGTGCATGCGATTCAAGAGAAACATAAATATATTTTTATTTCAAAATACATCAGCTGTAGTAATATACCAACTTTAGTAGTTTTGAGGCAATAACCATATTGTTATTGCGACTTAAATAATAATTTAAAAAAAACTAATAGTTTAGTACTTAAATACATGATAATTTGTACATTTAATAATAAATTAGAATTAATTATCAATTAAAAAAAACCAAATTGTTTTAATTAATATGTCATCAATCAAGCATGAATCGTGCAATTCTTAAATCTTATATTATGATTCTTACCGTATAGTTTGAGTATTAAAACCATACGTCATAATAATATAATATTTAATAATAATTTGAAGTAGGCAATTACGCGTGCATTATAATTTCACTTATTGAGAATTAAGGAGAATCAAATAAATTTGGCTGATTTTAAAGAAACAAAACTGTCCCGCACTAATACATATTATTTATAACGTATAATATATATTACGTATTATAGTTAGTTACTTGTAGGCATACACTTACACACTGCGGTATACAGCCTAACGAGTAACTTTCATTATTTTGTGAGTAGATGTGAATAATATGTGATAACGTGTTACGAAAACTCAAGGTTCAATAATTTGGTAGTATCTAGGTATCTTTATTCTTTACTTAGTAAAAAGTAATAGGTGGTGGAAACTAGAAAGAAGATATCGTAATAAGATGTTGGTAACATAATGTATGCACACTGACCAGGCTATACGCCTATACAAATATATTAACTTACTACCTATCAGTGATTCCCAACCTTTTTACCACCACAGACCACTTTAATAATATTTTATAAGTCACAGGTCATCTCAACTTTAAGAAAACTATGAAGACCTTTTTTTGCTTGCTCATTACCCTATCACAGTGCCAAGTCCGATTCACAGAATCTTTTACGCCCGAGGATTTCCCACATTTTAATAAATTATATTATCTTACCAGCTCTGGTGATGCCCGTTTTGTCATCTGCAGGTTATTGTCAGATGCTATGACTATTACTTATATGTGTGCTAATCAGTGGCGTAATTACGGGGGGGGGATTTGGGTGTCGTATCCCCCCCCTTGACCATTTTTTTTTTTTTTTTTAATCGTCGAACACATTTATGTACTAATTTTATTAATATATATTTCATAGATAATACAAAAATCACCCGAATCTCCATAATATTATACAAATATATAATCATCCATCAATATTATCATAATATACAGTGTGATCACGATTTTAGGTACCACTGAATATCACAGATGGATGACTTTGTATTGAAATGGGGTTTTCGGGAGGTGATAGGGAGCACTTAAATACATATTTTCAGACCAGTTTCAAATTTTTAGCTCACTCGGTACGCGCATGCCGCATGCGCAATATTACTTTTTTTTAAATGGCAACCCCAGTTTTTTCTGCAGATTCAGGTAGAGTATTTATTTTTGAACACTTATTGAACATTTATGCATAATTCGTGTTTAATGATATTTTCATTTATAACCAGTTGAAATAATAAAATAAGAGCCAAATAAATGTTTAATGGCGGACGGAAATCGGCCACAACCGACGCCTTAGTCCACTCAGCCACCCTCCCCCCCCCCCTAATCAAACATTTATTTGGCACTTATTTTATTATTTCAACTGGTTATAAATGCAAATTGCATTAAACACGTATTATGAATAAATCCAAAATTTGACTTTCTCTAACTTGGTAAGTTTTATAAATAGAAAAACTTTCAATACAAAAAATGTTTAAAAAAAATACTCTACCCAAATCTGTAGAAAAAAAGTGGGGTTGCCATTTAACAAAAAGTAAGTCAAATTGCGCATGCGCATACCGAGTGAGCTAAAAATTTTAAACTGGTCTGAAAATATGTATTTAAGTGCTTCCTATCGGCTATCACCTCCCGAAAACCCCATTTCAATACAAAGTCAGCCATCTGAGATATTCAGTGGTACCTAAAATCGTGATCACACTGTGATACAATTATATTCTTTTAAAATAGCCAAAATAAGATGCTAATATTCTCTTAAAAAGTTGAAAATATTCTTCCAATATTCTTTAAAAATAATAATAAAATATGCAAAAAAAAATGCTTTTTTATTAAAATATTCTCTTGAACTAAAAATATGCATTTATATGCAAAATAATTAAGCAAATAATACGAACATATAAATAAATAGGTACATAATATGCAAAATAATATAAAAACCTGATATAAATAGGTACCTACATAATAAAAAATACTACTTGTTAAGAAAAGTTTGATTTAATATTTAATTATTTTAAATTTTAAATTTTTAACTAAGAAAATGTTTGAAAACAGTTGACAACTATATTTTGTTCCATGTTCCCTGATGTCATATTTGTACAACGGTCGGTTAAATGTTTTTATATGTGCTATTTATATTATTTAGGCCACTGCAACAAAAAATATCGTACATCCACAAAAATTAATCGATATATTCTCTAATATTTTTTATTATACGAAATATTCTTTTATCTTGAAATATTCCCAAATATTCAAAATAAACTTTTGCCATTAACTCACCTGTTTCATGATTTGTAAAGATTTCGAACCCCCGTCTGACTGCATAGACTCAAAAAAAATATGCAAAAGAATATAATTCCGGCTACTAGTTATTACATACAGATCATAATGGTTGTATTCTTGTATTGAGGGGTGCTTATTGCTTATAGCTTATGCCTTATACGGTTAAAAAAAAATGTTGAGGGGGGGGGGGGTAATTGGTGAAATGTGCATACATTTCATCCCCCCCCACAACCATGACCAAATTACGCCACTGGTGCTAATATACAGGGTGTATCTTATGGCATTGTAAGCGGGGGGTTTTTTTTAACGATTATAGATCGATGATATACTGGGTGATTCTTTTATCAAACAACACTCATTATTTCAAAAAGTGTAAATTTTTTTGAAAATATTTTTTTACATAGTTTCAAGTCGCTTATAAAACAACATTTTTATTAAAAAACTATATTTTTAAATATTTTTTATCCTTATAATTTTTTTAAGTTTTTTACTTTTTTGAATAACAACATAGGGATTTAATTTTATATTCCAAAGCAGAATATTTTTCTTAGTATTTTGATACATGAAAATTGAATTTGGGTTGAGTAGTTTATGAGTTATAAATATTCAAAGTTTGATGAGCGGTGAAGTGGGCAAACATTTCGCGGGGTAACCCCGAACCACTCCACTCCGCTCGTCTAAACTTTAAATACTTATAACTCGTAAACTACTCGCCTCAAATTCGATTTTAA